GAGCGATTAGTGACTTAAGCGGTGAGAGTTCAGATTTTCCAAACTTATCAAATATGAAAGACATGCAGACTTTGTGAGCCATCTCTATGGTTTTAGACTTTTAGTATCCTTTCTGATTAGAATAACCTACAAGTATATAACATTTATTTTCTTATATGGGTTGCTTCAAATTGCAGGATGTTAAGGAGCTGCAATATAAGAGGAACAATCCCTGAATATATCTCTACTATGACAAGTCTGACACTTTTGTAATGCTTCTCTTTATTCATTCTCTGTACTTTTGCTTGAGCTTACATATATGTGAAAAGCTTAAAAGTGCTAAATTTTTTGAATGGTTGTAGATCCATATGTAAAATTTGGGAAAGCCTTACTACTATATTACAATTTAATTACTATGTGAAGAGGAAAGCAAAAATTTGGCCTCAGTATTTATCATTTGCTTTTTCAATTTACTGAAGTGTCATTTGATAAACTTTCTTCTGTACCGTATTCCCAGCATCACGAGTACATAACTTCTGATTACCCCCAAACCTAATTCTTTTGCAGGGATCTTAGCTTCAACAGATTGAAAGGGAACATTCCAAATCTTGTGGATAAATGGAGATTGTTCACAATGTGAGTCAAATTCATATGGGTAGCTATATAGCTCACATAATGAGGAACATGATACATTATGTATCTTATGTGTAACCTTAAGAAACATTGATTCAAATAATTTTTTATTCACATGTAAACATATTGCTCAATGATCAGATATCTGACAAGTAACTTGCTTACGGGGCTTCCGGAGTGGATCACATATAGAGATAATCGCTAGTATGTTTCATCCTCCTAAATCTTACTTATATTATGGTTAGAGTTCTGTTTATATCCATCATTTACTCAGATTACTCAGATCGTATGTATACCACTAGCACGCATGTAGTGTGCATACCTACATGTTTATTGCAACCTTTCCTCATTAATTTGTGTCTGTGCTTCTGAGGCTTCAACAGATAAATGTCTATGATTAAGAATATAGTGACTTGGTAGACAGATTATAACGCTACACGAAAGATAAGGCGAATTACACAATGGATAAGGTTATGTATACAAGTACTTTTTGGCTGAAGGTTCATGATTATAAGAAGGCTGGGGTATTGTATTGATGATGAGTGGTTAAGTCCAAAATTTTCTATCTTGCTGCTGTCTTTAAAATGTTGAATAATTTCCTCTCTGTTCTGCGCAAATTCAGTCATTCATGTTACAAATTTTACCAAAATATTCTGATATTCTTTTTTCTTGGAATCTCTGTTAATAGAGACCTTTATGTTTGCATGCAGCATAATAGATCTTTCCTACAATAACTTTTCAGAGAACTCTGTCCCAACTACATGTCGAGATAACTTGTAAGATTAAATATATTTTTTCTTTCTATATCTTCTTCTTTTCATTTACTTTGCTTGAGATTTACATATTTTGCGCTCTTTGGCTATCTAAATATGTGAAAGTAACTAGGTTGTTGTTTTCATCAGCAATGTGTTCAAAAGTTTTTCCGGACAGAACAACTCGTAAGCTTCAAACTCAATGAGTTCCACAGGGAGTTTATTCATTTTTCCTCATTCATTGTTCCTAATCTAATTATGCTGTTTTTTTTTTGGTTGTATTTATCAATGTATGATTCTTAGCCATTGCCTCAATCCATGTTCAAAAGGTAACTAAATCTGTCGTAGAATATCTCAAGTGCATGGTTCTTTTTTCACATACAACGTTGTTTTGAGTCCATTTGTTTTCTACCTTTTGTATGCTGTTTTTTCTCTATAGAGCAGTATTCGGTGCATATAAATTGTGGTGGAAAACAAGCCACCATTGGAAGCATCAAATATGATGGTGATGAAGCTTCAGGAGGTGGAGCAAAGTTTTTTCATGACACAGCTGGGAATTGGGGTTTTAGTAGCACTGGTGATTTTGGGCTTGTGAATTATGATCAAGGGTATATAGCAAGAAATAGCTCCATACTCAATATGACTAACTCTGAATTGTACAGAACAGCCCGAATATCTCCTCTTTCTCTCACATATTATGCCCGTTGCTTAGCAAATGGAAATTACACTGTGAAACTACACTTTGCAGAAATAGTTATCAGAAACAACAGGTCTTCTTACAGCGTTGGAAGACGAATTTTTGATGTTTATATCCAGGTAGTCATCCTTTTATGTTCATCATAAATGAGATGAAGCATAAATAACTATTCTCCATGTTACTTAATTTTTATTTTTTTAGCATTTGGATAAACTGAACTATTCTCCATATTTTCTCTAAAAACTCAACCACCTATCAACATAGGCTTCCTTCCTCCAATGTTCTTAACAATTTTCTTAATCACTCCCTTTCGCTCTTAGTTTTTAACTTGAATGATTAAGTATAGTAATTATTACAGGAAAAACTGGTATTGAAGGATTTTAATATTCAAAAGGAAGCACAAGGGGTTGATAAGGAAGTGATTAAGGAATTTAAAGCAGTTGTCAATGTTATGACTTTAGAGATCCGCTTTCATTGGGCTGGGAAAGGGACAACTAATGCTCCGAAAAGAGGAATATATGGTTCTCTTATATCTGCTATCTCAGTGGAGGCTGGTAAGTAATTTAAGTAGTAAGTTTTCTCTTTATTTTGACTGCCATCTTGTTCATCACTGTTCTTGGCTCTGCTTTCACTTCTAGATTTCGAACCACCTGACGATAGCAAAAAGAAGATATTCATTGTGGTTGGAGTTGTCTCAGTGTTGTGTCTTATTTTCATGACTTTTGGCATTCTTTGGTTGAGATGCTGTTTTGGAGGCAGGGCATCTACTAGGGAACAAGGTATTGTGAATACTGTGCTAAAGAGGAAATTAGACTTGGCAATTTGAATTATAACTTCTCTGCTAGAGTATATGTCTACTGTAGTTGCTTGTTTTTTCAGTGTTTTTCTTTTCCAATGTTGTCTAATTAATAAGCCAAAAGGCCCTCAAATTCTCAGTGAAAAATCCGTTCAATATGCTAACCTCTAGTCACATGAACAGATCTGAGAGGATTAGATCTGCAAACTGGTTTCTTTAGATTCAAACAAATCAAAGCTGCCACTAACAACTTTGATGCTGCAAACAAGCTTGGGGAAGGTGGCTTTGGAGCTGTTTACAAGGTATTCTACAACTCCTTTTTGTTTCCCCTAAATATGCAAGCACCTCTAATTTTGTTTTTCTTTGACTTTGGTCTATGACACTAATAAAGTGTTATGTATGACTAACATTTCTCAAATGTATTATATTTCAAATTGCAGGGTGAACTATTAGATGGTACTATTATTGCGGTTAAGCAACTTTCTTCAAAATCGAAGCAAGGAAATCATGAATTTGTGAATGAAATAGGCATGATTTCTGCATTAGAACACCCAAATCTTGTTAGATTGTATGGATGTTGTGTTGAAGGAAATCAGTTACTGTTGGTATATGAATACATGGAGAACAATAGCCTTGCACATTTGTTTGGTAAGCTGGAAAACTTAAATTGGATGGTAAACATGTTATAAGTTCAATACTAGTTTGATGAATGAATCTTATTTGTGAGGTTACGTTTGAATTCAGGTCAAGAAAAAGGTATACTGAAACTGGATTGGCCTACAAGGCAGAAAATATGCGTCGGCATTGCAAGAGGTCTGGCTTTCATGCATGAGCAACACTGAAAATCGTTCATAGAGACATCAAAACTACCAATATACTGCTTGACAGGGACCTGAAACCTAAAATCTCTGACTTTGGTTTGGCCAAGCTGAATGAAGAGGAGAAGAGTCACATTAGTACCCGAGTAGCTGGAACTATGTGAGCAAACCTTCCCTTCTCTTTCTCTTTCCTTCATTGTGGAACCCTAATTGATTTTTATCTTCCAAATCTTGATTATTATTATTTTATTTGATCACAATGATAAAACACTCTTCCCATTTGTTTTGTAGAGGATACATGGCGCCAGAATATGCATTATGGGGCCATTTAACTGATAAAGTAGATGTTTACAGCTTCGGGGTTGTTGCACTGGAACTTGTATCTGGCAATAACAACATCAAATATCGGCCAAACGAGAATTATGTCTGCCTTCTTGATTGGGTAAGATCGTACTGCATTTTGTTTAGTAGATGAATTAGTAGGAACTATTTTCCATTTGACATATTCGTCATCCAGCTTTGTGTTACCCTACACTTTTTGATCAGGAAAATGAACTTTTTTATGTTGCAAGTTGCAAATGATGTTCTACTTTCAATTTCTCTTCAGTACTGACATAAAAAATGTTCTAAACAATATACATATATATATAGTTATAAAACAACAATCAAGAAAGTTTATTTTTCCATCTATTTCCTTTTTGGATGTCGCAGGCGTATGTTTTGCAACAGAAAGGAAATCTGATGGAGCTGGTGGATCCAAAGTTGGGGTCTGAGTTCAACAAGGAAGAGGCAATGAGAATGATCAAGGTAGCTCTACTCTGCACTAATTCATCACCAGCGCTAAGACCTACAATGTCTGCAGTGGTGAGCATGCTTGAGGGCCGAGCCATTGTTCATGAACTGAACATAAATCCGAGTATTTATGGTGATGAAATGAGGTTTAAGTCCTTAAGAGATGAGTCTAATCTGAGTGTTCAACAGAGTTGGTGTGGGACTCAAAGCCTCATTTATTCATCGGATGCAAGAGGGGCGACCTCTTCCTCATCGCCTGTCTAGGATTTGTGTACAATAAATTTTGATTCTCAATAGTCAAATCATTAGATTCATACTCAAAATCAGATATCCAAATTAGAACTACGTACATGGCCTTTGCACAACATTACTTGTACCATTATTAATTATATTAAAATTTGTGGTTTGGATATGATTTGATGGGAGTTTCATTGATGCACATCAAACAGAATATTAAAACAAAGCAAAAAGCAAAATATCAATGAATGTAAAATTTCCTTTATTGCATTAAGTAGGCATATGAAAGAAAGATTTACACTTTGATTGATGTCATGAAGTACAAGCTATGATCGACTAACAATAGTGGGTGCATTTATGTGAGATTGTATAATTTATATTTAAAAAAAATTAAAAACAGTTGCTTTTTGAAGGGTCTGATGTCATAATGCTTAATAGCCCGGGAACATTGGTGGAGGTGGAGATGAGTATTGGGAGCCGAAGTTTGGTGGCAAAACAAAGTCATCTACTGGAGGGGGTGATGAGACAACGGGAGGAGGAGGTGAAAGAGAAGGAGAAGGTGGTGGAGAGGAGTTTTCTGGAGGCGGTGGAGACTGGGTGGGTGGTGGTGGTGGAGAGTTGACTGGGGGTGGTGGAGAGTGAACTGGAGGTGGAGGAGATTGTACTGGTGGTGGGGGCGAGTTGACTGGGGGTGGAGGAGAGTGGACTGGTGGTGGTGGAGAGTGAACTGGTGGTGGAGGTGAATACACTAGGGGAGGAGGTGAGTGAACTGGCGGTGGGGGTGAGTTGACTGGGGGTGGATGAGAGTGGACTGGTGGTGGTGGTGGAGAGTTGATTAGTGGTGGAGGAGAGTGAATTGATGGTGGTGGTGGTGAGTGGACTGGGGGTGGAGGAGAGTGAACTAGAACAATAGGACTTTGCCCCGTGGGTGAAGCCGACGGTGGAAGAGAGTGGATTGGTGGTGGGGATGAGTTCACAGGTGGTGAGTGAGGGCGAATTGGAACAATGGGACTTTGCCCTGTGGGTGCTGGCGATGGTGATGTTGCTACAGGTGGTGGGGGAGAGTGGACAGGTGGTGGAAGGGAGTTGATTGGGGGTGGCGGTGAGTCAGGTCGAATTGGAACAATGAGACTCTGCCCTGTGGGTTCTGGCAATGGTGGTGTTATTACAAGTGGTGGAGGAGAGTGGACAAGTGGTGGTGGTGAGTCAGGGCGAATTGGAACAATGGGACTTTGTCGTGTGGGTGAAGGTGATGGTGATGTTGCTATGGGTGGTGGAGGAGAATGGACAGGTGGTGGGGGTGAGTTGACTGGGGGTGGTGGTAAGTCAGGGCGAATTGGAACAATGGGACTTTGTCGCGTGGGTGCGGGCGATGGCGGTGTTGCTATGGGTGGTGGAGGAGAGTGGACAGGTGGTGGGGGTGAGTTGACTGGTGGTGGTGGAGAGTGAATTGGTGGTGAGTGAGGGCGAACCGGAACAATGGGACTTTGCCTTGTGGGTGTGAGTGGGGGTGGTGATGGTGCTACCACTATTTGAGGGGGGCTGGCAACTGGTTCTGGAGTCTCTGGAACTGGCTCCGGAGATAGCTCTGGTTTAGGTGGTTGTGGCTCTAGTGTGGGAGTTTCTTCTTGGGGCGATTGTTCTTTGGGTGGTTCCTCTTTAGGAGGTTGTTGTTTGGGTGGCTCCTCCTTGGGTGCATGAGAAGAAGGTTTTGAAGGTGCTGGTCGACCTCCGCACTTTGCCCTGCCACAATCCACTGGCTTGTTCACCACAACTTGACATTGTTTTGCTGACTTCTGCTTAGGCCTATCTGGTAAGCAGTTGCTTGTGTCATCAAACAGTGTGTCCTTCCAAGAAGATGGCACACATTCTTGATCCTCGCCGTTGAAGTAGTTGTAGGAAAACGTAAAATTTCCCAAGCTAGGCAATTTGCAGAGACTCTTGGGAACAAACCCAGTTAGCATGTTGTGTGCAATGTTCAACTCCTCCACCTGCTCAAGGCCTTTGAAAGTCTTGGACAGGAGCCCACTCAATGTGTTTGAACTAACATCAAACACAGTCACGTTTGAGAGGTACCCAATTTCAGGAGGCAAACACCCAGCAAACTTGTTATGGGAGAAGATGGCCTCATTCAAATTGTTTACCATTTTTCCAATGCTATTAGGGATGCAGCCCTCGAGATGATTGTTTGCTACCACAAGAACAGAGATGGGGGAGTTGCCAAGAGTGTCAGGGATGGTGGATGTGAACCTGTTGTTGTTCAAGAACAGGGCATCCAATTCCTTGTTGAAGAGCTCAGGAGGCAATTTCCCCTCAAAGTCATTGAACCTGAGGTCAAGGTACTTGAGGTTTGGAATTTGCAGGACCACCTCCGGGAACGATCCCACAAAGCGCTTGTTGCTAACGTCGAGCTCATGGAGAAGAGTTAGCCTAGCAAAGCTCTTAGGGATGATACCACATAACCTGTTCGTGTTGATGTGGAACACGGCAATGTCACTCAACATGCCTAATTCAACAGGAAGGTACCCTGCAATGTCTGCATGGTTGATGTCAATGCCAGCCACAACCTCTAACTGTGGGTCATCCAGAGCCGGGGCACAAAATACTCCAGTGTAAGCACAAACATTTGCACCGACCTAGTTCTCAATAGTTTTAAGAGGGTCTGAGTATATGGCCTTTTTCCAAGCTTGAAGTGCAACGTATGCACGTCTAAGCCTGGGATGTGGAAACTTCAAGTTCAACTCAACTTCATATTCATGGTCGCCGCGCAGGTCATGGCCTGCGTGAAAATGTAGGAGCTGGCGACGGGCAATGAAGGACGCTTCAGCATCAGTTAGAGCAGAAGAGAAAGATGAGAAGGAGGAGTAGAGAAAAAAGAAAACTAGAAAATAGGCAGCCTTCATTGTTTGGTTATTAGGCCCAAGGCTGATGAGGAGGAGAGGGGGAGCAAGGGAGATTATATTGAGAGGAAAGGTCTGTTTGGTTGGTTTATTTGAGAGGCTGTGCAAGAATTTCTCTGCAGGATTTGCAGACTTGAGTTGTGTGCCTCTCTGGCTCTTTAAAATTAGGCAACGCATATTTAGTTGGTTTGTTGTACAGTATGTTAAGGAAGGCACATCTAATTAACTAATCCATCTCACCAACACTAAGACCAACAATATATGTCTGCTTAAAGGCAATTAGAATATTTAAAGTATACATCTAATTCCATCACTAGCACTAAGCCTTGTTCATGAATTAAATGAGAGTGCTCATTTACCTGATCGACCTTCTGTGATGCTTTTTTTAATTATTTTATTTTACAAATTTTGGCTGATCATAGGATTAAAGGGTATAATCTTTAGCCTTTAAATAATTACTAGTCTCTCCGCACGCGCTTCTGCGCCTCCGAGAGGTTTTTTTTTTTTTTTAAAAATAAAATTTATTTTAGAATTAAAAAAGATAATGGGTAGTTGTGTTCCATAAAAATAGGATTCATTATTTGATTTTTCTTTTAATTTTAATTTTTAAAAATATGAAAATGTGTGAATTTACCATATTATCCTCATTTAATTAATCATTTTAATTCTTAATATTTGAATTAACCAAAGGCATTTTCTGGTATTTTGAATGTTTCACCATTTTCTTCCTTTTGCTTTATATATATAGATTCATCTAACAAATTAAATGGACACTAATTCACTGTTTATTCACCTACCCTCTACGTATCTATGTTTAGTATTTTTATTTTTTTTACGAACCGATAATCTCTCTCAAACCACTGGAATTTTGTTTATGTATTTTAGAGCGTATATCCAAGAGACTATTTAAATAGATTCTACAAATTTATTATTATTATTATTATTTATTTTAATAGAAACTTAATTAATATCTCTTTCTCCCAATATGCAATTTTTGAGTTTATCTCTCATTATTGCGGTTTAAAAATCCACCATTTCACTTTAGCACTGATTGTTTATAAATTTATGTACATGTACATTAGTCTCTCCGCACGCGCTTCCGCTCTTGCGAGAGGCTTTTTTTTTTTAATTAAAATTTATTTTAGAAATAAAAAAGATAATGGGTAGTTGTGTTCCTTAAAAATAGGCCATTATCTTATTTTTCTTTTAATGTTAATTTTTTTAAATATGAAAAAGTGTGAATTTACCATATTATCCTAATTTAATTAATAATTTCAATTTTTAATGTTTGCATTAACAAATAGCATTTTCTGGTATTTTGAATGTTTCACCATTCTCTGCTTTTTGCTTTATATATATATATATAACACATGGAAATAAAATATGATAAATTGGGCACTCTTGGAATTTCCCAAAACCAAATCCCAGAGACGAAAGGAAACTATGACAAAAAAGGGGAGAAAGGGTAAAAATGTAATTTTATACAATGCATGAAAAGGTAAAGAAAGAATCTTATAAATATCTCTTAGAAGATCCATTTCCCATCCAATCCAAATCTACGAGTAAAATAATTTTTTTATTTTTTATTATTTTTTTTATGCTTAGCTGTTTTGGGGTCGAGTAAAACGAGAAAAACCCTAAGCCCCTACCACTTTCACTGTGCTCTCTTCCTTTTTTCTCACTTCCACTCTCCCTCTCTCTCTTAATTCTAAACCCTAGTCTCTTCCTCATATCGCATACCCACGACCACGAGGGGGCTTTTAAGCCCTCTCGCTCTCGCTGCGTCGCACTCTACGCACAATCACTCGGTGGTCAGCTAGCTCTCTCCCTTCGATCAATTTCGGTGAGTTCGTCTTCTACTCTTATCTCACGATTTTCTCACTTTGTTTTTTCATGTTTTTAGTCGTTGTCTTCATCCGGGTTTCCTGCCTTGTTACTTTGTAGTCTTGGGTTTCTCTTTTTCTGGCGTTTTCATGAATCTGTGTGTGGATCTCGGGATTTTATGTTTCTGGGTTTTTCCTAATATCGTTGTGTTTGGGACCTAATTAAAGTGTGTCAAAAGCATGATTTTTGGTACTTGGGGTTAGTTTAAAAATCAGCCATTGTTATGCCGATATGTTGCTTGGTTAATTTGTTATTTAACTTCTGGAAGTCCTTTTTATGTACGTATGCAGATACAATCCTTTATGGTAATTATTATAGGCGGAGTAGTTGAATTGAATTTTTATGATGTCACCCAGTCAGAATCACCACAGGCCCCTCAATTTATTTAGTATGTTATTGGGAAAAAAAAACTGGAGAGTGGGCTATCTACATACTAGGTGTTTTGTTAAATTTATTTTTATTTTTTACTGTAGAAGTATTACGCAGTACACTTCTTGTGCATTGATAGCACTATTTGTTGCTTAATTTTTGCAAACTTTTTCTGCAGAGGGTGGTGTGTTTTAATACCCGTGTTGTGAGAGGACACTGGTTTTCTCAGAGTTATTGGGTATTAGGGAAGCCATACAATTTTTCCTAAGAACTTGAAATTCGGGCTTTGTCCATCTTGAATCGACACAGTTTGTTAGTATGATTGCCACTAAAACCATGCTATCAAGCAACAAGCTGAAGATTAAATTTGCCTGCAAAAGAATTGAAGCTGATCTTGGCAAAAAAATAGAAGCTGATCCTCAGAAACGCTCGTGTGACTTTGGGCATCAAGTGTCACTTAATGAGGTCAGCTCAATGGCAAAACCTTCGTTCCCAGGTTCTAAGAAGCGTGCAGCCCCAGAAATTCTCGAATCTCAGAAAGAGAAGAAGCTGAAGATGGATCGTAGTGTGACGTTGCAGTGTTCAACGATTCTGAAAACACTGATAACTCATAAGGATGGTTGGGCTTTCAGTAAACCTGTTGATCCCTTGTCTCTAAACATTCCTGATTACTTTCATATTATCTCTCATCCCATGGATTTGGGCACAATAAAATCAAAGCTGGAGAAAAATATGTACCGCAACACTGAAGAGTTTGCAGCTGATGTCAGACTGACTTTTTCTAATGCCATGGTCTACAATCCTCCTGCCAATATTTTTCATCAGATGGCAAAAAACCTGAATAAGATTTTTGAGATGAGATGGGGTCTTTTAGGTGGGAAGTTGAATCATGGAAGCTCAAAGGCTGAACCAGGGAAATCATCGAGTGGTCAAATTAAGAAAGTAACTTATACAAGGCAGAATCCCGATAGAACTCCTCCCTTTCATAATATGTCGGTGACCAAGAGGTCCATGCCTTCCGAAGAGAAGGTCAGAGTTCATGTTGATACAAGGCAGAATCCCAGTAGAACTCCTCCCTTTCATAATATGTCGGTGACCAAGAGGTCCGTGCCTTCCGAAGAGAAGGTCAGAGTTCATGTTGGTGCGAGTGATGGTGAGGTAAGTAAGAAATTGTGATTTTCTTTTGCTTACAAAGATGTTTACTGGATTGGTGTAAAAACTTAAAATTGCATTTCCTATTCTAGATTAGTAATTATGCCGTTGAAGTAGTTTGCATTTCCTTTTCTGTCAGAGTAATATATGTTTTGTTTACAGGCAGAGCTTTCCAAAACCGTGCAGCATTGCACTCCCAAATTATTAGCAAAGAATTCAGGTATGAAGGAAAAACAAGCTTCAGGCTTAAGTTTCTGCTTTATGGATATCTATGCGTGCTAATTCAGTGTGTCGTACAGGCACTGATAGTGGCAGTAGACAAGCTTCAGGCTCTGTGAATGCAAAGCAGCCATCAAGCCCGGTTGGCAGAAAATGTGGTTCATGTGGCAACCTTGCATGTCGATGCGGGCTTCCTTGTGACTCAATGGGCAGAGATCATCGTTTGTCTAATCCCAATGCATCCAGACTGGTATGCATGACAATATTTCTTTTAATGTCCTTGCGAGTATAAGTTAGAGTTTTATGTTCTTTTAGCAGTAATTGGAACTTCTTATTCAATTCTAGGATTGTCAAGCAAAAAGCTTGTCAACATCCCAGATGAGCAAGTCAGATCCAGAATCTGATGGTGAGATGACGCAACAATTTGTTATATTATGATATTTAACCAGTTATTTTAGTGATCTGAGTACTGGATTGGTGTTGGAAAAAATATGAAGGGGCTGTAAGTGCTTTGGATGACGAAAACATTTGTCCCAGCCCTCAGCTTACAACTCCAGTAACGGATGCTGCATCTGGAGAAGGTCAGTTTATTCACCAGCAATGCCAAAATTAAGTTGTAGCATTGTCCATTTTGGCATATTTGGACTTATTAAATTGGTGTTCTTACTGAATTGTTTCAGAATGGAAAACTTCTCTTTTTGATGTTCAACTATCACCAAAAAGAGCTCTCCGTGCTGCAATGCTAAAGAGCCGCTTTGCAGACACTATTTGGAAAGCTCAACAAGAAAAACTCCTGGATCAAGTAAGCTTCATTTTTTGACAAGATCATGCAAGGCTGGTTGGATACTGAGTGAGAAGGTTTCCATGCAATTTTAGTAATTTACTTGTTTTTCGTTCTTACATCCAGGGTGGTAGATGTGATCCAATGAAGATGCGACAGGAAAAAGCAAGATTGGAGAGGAGGCAGCATGAAGGTAAAGCTGGCTTTGTTTCTTCCTTTATTCTTTGCCATCATTTTGGGTTTGAAGATTCTTAATTTTATAAGAATGCAACCAATAGTTATACTATGTCAGGTTAGCCTCATGTGTGCAATGTGAAAGTGCACGATTTTTAAGTTAAGGGCTTGTCTGCGTGGCAAACACTTGCTTGGTGTTCTTGATTTGTACTAAAACGTTTTTTGGTCATTTAGGTGGATAACAATTCTAACTGCTTTTTTTAAGGCCAAATTGAATCTTTTATCTCTTTTCTTTCTTTTTTGTTTTGGCCATATTGACTCTTGGTCTCCCAGTCCTAGTGTTTTGGCCATGTTGAATCTTGCTCTCCAGTCCTAGTGTTTGATAACAAAATTCATGGATCTTGATGTTGAAGTTTGTTGCAATATCATGATTATCATGATTATATTGTTAAAGCATTATACTGCATGACTCATCAATAAAATCTCCTGCTGCACCTACCTTATATTAATTGATGATCTTAAACTTTACCATACTACAGAGAAGGCAAGGATTGAAGCTGAAATAAGAGCTGCTGAAGCCGCCACACGAATGAGGGCTGAGATTGAGTTGAAGCAGCAACGGAAGAGAAAAAGAGAAGAAGCTCGAATTGCACTTGAGAAGGTTTACCTTTGTTTTTCATATTTACAACTTCTTGCGTGGATGTTATCTCTTTTGGTGCCTTTGTGGTCTTAATTTGTTGAGTGTCCTTATCCAGATGCAAAGAACGGTTGAGATTGATCCAAACTTGAAGATCCTAGAGGAACTTGAAAGATTAACTGGATTCTCTCCATCCACTCCTCTTCTCAACTATAAGGGTCGGTTTGGGGCGTTTGGGGGAGCGCACCTCCGATCACCTTTGGAACAGTTAGGATTGTTTATAAAGGCTGAATATTCAGGAGATGAGGATGATGATGAGTCAATTCTGAACGAGGATGGGGAGGAAGGGGAGATTGTTTGATACACTGCGTGTTGGTCCCTTACTAATTGTATGTGTTCTGTTTTTCCAGCTCAAGATGTTTTGTATCAGTCAATCGAGAGGGAAAAGAGACCATTGTAAATAATCTTTTACTTTTTAAAATTTTCTGGTAGTGGGGATATACGAGTATACATAATAGACAATATTATAGTTCTCTCTCTTAAAGAACGAAGAAGAAAGTGTCTGATCCCTTTTCTCTTACTCTACTTACTCTTTCCTCCGTCTCTGCTCTGCTCTAATCAAATGTGTCTACTTTTTTACCTGTTAATGAGTTCAAGTCCCATAATTAGCCTCATGGAATAATTTGGATTCAGCTTCCGGTCCATATTTTGAATTCCGATTACACACAAAATCTGTAAAATAGTCCTTTCAACAAATAATTAACTTCCCAGATAAGACTAAAGTGATTCAAACTTGATTAACATCATAAACATAAAGTGAAGTATACACCTTTCTTGAAGAAGGGTTTAGGGTTCAAACAGTGAAATAAGGGTAATACATTCCAACGGTCGAATTGGATTCACTCCTTTTTGATAGGATACGCCTGTCGATTTGTGTGCGAGAGAGAAAAAGAGAGATGAGGCAGAGAAGAAAGATTGGATCATAAATCCCAGAAGCCCTAATCGCGGAGGAGGAAGAAGCAGAAGAAGGACGATTCTTCGGATGCTATCTGTTGACCTCTCGCAGCCCCCGCTATGAAGGCCACACCTATATTAGGTACCTTCCATCTTCCCCAATTTTTTTTTATTTTTTTTATTTTTTCAAATTCTCAATCTGTTCAGAATAATCAGGTCAATCTTGATCCATCTGAAATTCTTTAAATTTTGAGGTTTTCTTTTAGAGCTTGGATTAAGAAGAGAGCCCACTTTGACTGTGTCTTGGTTTATGTTTTATTTGGGCGGTGCTGATCCAGATTCACAGTGAACCCACGGCGTCGTATAAGACAGCATAATGGTGGAAATAGCTCAAGGTGCTTGGAGAACGAAGCGGAAGCGTCCATGGGAGATGGTCTTGTGCATCTATGGTTTCCCAACTAACGTTTCTGCTCTCCCGGTCTCTTCATTTCTTTCTTTTTTTTCGCTTTACAATTACTTGTCTTAGTGCATTGCTCTGTATGATCTGTTTGTGTTTTTAATTTGATTGATTGGGACCAAATTAGATACAATTTTGTTGAGAATTATATTCTGATAATTATGTGTCATTTGAGGATATTTCCAGCTTGATTGAGTTGGCACCAATTCTAGGATCAATTTGGACCTGGTTAAAATTTGATTAATTGTATTATTATTTTAGGATTGATATTAATTGGAAATTTGGGACCTACTTTCTAATATTCCCTTTGGAACTTTGCAGTTTGAATTGTCCTGGCAGAACCCGACTGTATCAAAGGCAGGCTGGCTGCTGCAACCTTTAAATCCCTGCGAGGGCTTGTCAGTAAGATCAAACTTGCATGCACCATGCTCACTCTCCCTCCCTGGCAGAGGTATCATTTTATTTTCTTCCTTGTGAGTTGTGAATGGATGAATATAATACATATGCTTTTGCTGTTATTGATGGTAAGTGATAGTGTTTCTATGTATCATCAGCTTGAACATCACTGTAAACTTCTTTTCAACCCAGTACACCAAACACTCTGCTGATTGTCCATGCCTGCCGGAACAGATGAAGGTCAAAGTCTGCTCCATGGATGAGCTTTCTTCCTGTACCAAACTATCTGATGACCTTTTTGAAAATGAAGCTGAGTGGTGTAATGAGAGGGAAATTGATGAAGATATGCATACCAGTACACTACACGAAGAAACAATATCAGACTTCATGGCTCATAATCAAGCAGATTATCAGCAGAGTAATAGTGGCAATAGAATGAATGAAGTATATGGATGCAGTAAAGAAGTAGGAGAAGATGAGTGGTATGATGGAAAAGAATGTGATGAAGCTATGAATTATACAGGAAGAAACATTATCAGATCTTATTGTTCAAAGTTCAGCAGATGATCAGCAGGATTATACTGGCAATATAAGTAACGAAGCATATGGATGCAGTCAAAGTAGTAGGAGAGGATTGTACAGAGAAATTTGGTTTTATGGAATCGCCAGTGAGAACACCATCTTCAAATGTCACTACCTCATTTGACACAGAAGTAACTAAAGATATAGGTTTGTTTGTATCTTCCGATGACATGAGTGTTAAATTGGGCTGACCTACAAGGGAACAATCGGCGGCTGTAGTTGCAGACAATGATCAGTCCCCCAGCAGAAGCTATCTCCGGCCTTGTGGAGCTGAGGTAATAGATTTGACAACTCTTGCCCTCCCCCCCTCCCCCCCCCCCCTATGCAGAAGGGATTTATGTGGCAAGAAGAGTAGAGTTGCTACTGTTTATCCTCAGATAATTGACTTGACTGAGTCAACCAATTTCATCCAACTATAGAATGTTGGACATGTATACTACAAACAATCAAACAAATTATGTAATCTATAGAGGAATTTATTGTCATCTTTGCCTGATGGCATATTGTAATCACAATATTAAGAGCATTTTGGTTCAAGTCTTACAGTTTGATGAAATAAAGATTTTTTTTTACCCACTTGCTACATTCCATCCTGTTATTGTATATCGCATTTCCTCTGGTGTATTTATGCAGAGGAATTAATTTATGAGAATGGAAGATGGTGCTGTGTTGCTAATTCTTGGTTGGCATACTTTTTTCTTCTGTGCAAATTAAAAGGAAAATCTAAACATGTAAAAAGTTATCAAGGAGAATTCAAGAGAGCAGCTCCAATATTTGGTCAAATGAACAAATTTGGAGTAAATTTGTATCTTAAAAAAATAGACAATTACAGAAACTTCATATCTACTAAGCAAAGAAACTAAAGCCAATTGTACAAATATATTCAATACTCAGTTCTCTGCGCACAGTGAAAATTAGACGGCTCTAACTTGTTGCCGAAGAGACTGCACGCATGGATGACGTTGTGGTATTGCGGCATCAACGGCTCTCTCTCTATACAGTCTATCAACAACTTGTAGAAAAAGAAACCCACAAGCTCTTGATCAGTGGGGTGGAAACCAAAACGTCACAAGAGAATATGCCATTGCTTGCTGCTAATTAACACAAGAGAAGAGAAGAGAATTCAAGCGAAGTTGTTTGTTTGTTTCTCCCTGTAACTGTGTTGCTCACGTTTTGGTGCGGACAAAGAGCCACATCTCACTGGTATAAGCAGTGAGTATAGGAAAGTTTCCTTTGGTGAGCAGGAAATAGAAAAAAAAAAATATTTGAAAGAAATTTGGAAAGCTTGTTTTTTGAAAGAAATATTGAAATTAAGGACTGTTTGGAGAGTCGGTTTTGGTAAGTAATTTTTGTGAACTTTTTTAACTTTAAAAGCAACGGCCACACTTATGCTGTGAGAGAGAGAGAGAGAGAGAGAGAGAGAGAGAGAGAGAGAGTGAATCAATTTTCACTTTTAGTTCTCATTCAAGTTTGGTTTTTGTCTTGTGGGTTTTTCTCTGTTTGAACAATTTGGCTATTTTATGAGCTTGCAGGTGTTTTATAGGTCTGCCACGGTATCAATATTCTGGACCATTGTGGACATTTTATCTCTGAAGGTATATTATGATCTTCTTCTATCGGCCACTTGCTGTCGCATATCTTCTTCTCTGGGCCACTTGCTGTCGCATATAACACACACATGTCCATGTTTGAGATTGTTACTTGGCAGTAACGAAGGTTCATTTTGGTAAGAATCTAAAATGTAATTTTAGACCCAACTGAAATCCCAATGTTGTATGCTCTCTGAAAATGGTGCTGTAGATGTAATTACTTGTTAGCAAACAAAGGTGTATATTATGAAACGTAATTAGTTTTTTGAAGGCTTTGGTAAGATGAATCGCAATTTAATTGGTGGATTATAAAGATTAAAACTTGATGGGATTCATAACTTTTCAAGCCAATCTTCTAGCCTATTCGTATAAAAATAACAATTTGATTTCGCACTTCATATTAAAACAACCTGAGATGCATTTTCCCGTTTATAGAAAATTCAGAGCACATACTAGGTTTCAGTAGATCGATATATACGTTTGTCACCCCGAAAAAAAGGGTTTGAAGTGGCAAAGACCACAGTGGTAGAATCCAATGCGAACTGGATTTAATAATACCACATACATTTGTCAAAAGAAAATAATTTACTCAGATGAGTAGGAGCAATAACTTAAGCAGACTACTTCAAGATGCAAGCAAAACATTTTGTTGAAGGTAAACAGCTCATATCCATTGTACATCTTAAAAGGTAAATTTGACAAAAAGTCTAAAATCTGTAAATGTGAACCAGAAGTTAACCAGAAGTTACTCTGCATCTCAGCATAGAATGCTGTTGCAGTTAGAAAGCATTAAGCACTAGCAATGAACAATATACACATCAGACTACGTATTTATTTTTGGCACTTCTCTCCTGTCTCATTGCATCCTCCTGCCAAAACAAACCAGAGCAGGGCATTATTAATGAGGCCCCAAACTTAACAAGAATTGAGTAAAACAACAAATAATGTACATAAGAAACAAAATCCTTACATGAAATATGAACCCTATAGTTTCATTGTAATCCAGAAACACCTTCCACTGTTTCCCAATGCTCAGCTGCAGCAAGAAAGTGGATATGAGACATCTTTGAAATTTTGTTATCATAATGAAACTCATTACTATTAACAAAAATGTTGATGAAATGTCACTGTGCCATGTTTTCAAAGCAAGTGCCTTGTCCCCACTCTTTGGTTTTTGGAGTAGGTAATAAGTTCGCCTCAACGATTAAGTAATGTACATAAAAGATTACAAAACCACTGGTCTTAGCAGCCAAGTGTCCGCTGAACCACTATGGGTGGCCACAGATTTGGGGAAAGGGAGAAACACAAATTCATCAACTTAATCAATTCTTCTTCTTCTTTTTTCCTTGCAACCAGGATCACTAAAGCAACATAAACAAAATGCACAGCTAGAAATAAATAGCAAGTCTGTCCTCACGCTAAAGCAACATAGATAAAAACTGTGATGCTGTAAAGTACTATCTAAGGAATACAAAACCTTTTGAAGGTTTCAAGCATGTGCTATGTCTTCATACAATAAACGATATACAGGGAGTCTAGCAGCAATTACCTGAGCAGGTTCATTTATGGCATTCTTCGTCCAAATAGATATCTTTTCTTGCCTATTTCTGACGTTGACAACTGCTCCACAAATTTCATCTCCATGATCAAACTGTTCTCCTATCATTCCTAGCAACTAGTACCAGCAGATACAGACAATTAGGCCACACAAAAATATCAATCAACCTCGAATAACAATTGCAGTTTAGACCATACCGTATACAGCCAAGAAGTATCAGATTTCCCTTTAGGAAAAGTTACAGTCCACTTCCCTCCATTAGCACACACAGGATCCTCCCACTTTGGCTCAATTTTATATTTGAAACAATGGAAGTCCGTGCCAATAGCCAACTTGCTTGGATGACGTACATTATTGTAAATGCTGAATGCAAAACAGATTTTATGAGCACATGTGAGAATCATTACCAGGAAAAAATAAACGGAGGCAGACAACAAGCACAAGCACTGGATACAGTTTATTCAAATAACAACTTTGGAATAAGTTTTGTCCTTATAGAAAGGCCCAAAGAAAGTGTTTACAAGTTCAGCTCAGCAGCTCAAATCCCTCAACAGGGGCACACGTCTAATGATGACCAAGTATTTTTGTCACACAGTAATATAACCATGATTGCATAATTAACAATGCATGGACTGAATGCATCCATACTGATACAAATCAAAGCATCCAAAAGACCCAGGGAAGCTCCTTCTAGGAAGCAAATTCAATGAAAGATGATCTCATTATTATGAATTATGATAAATCCAAATCATGAATAAACAGGAACCCTCTAAAATCCCATTTAAAACTAAAAGACTAGCAAGATTGGAAACCAAGGAAATAGGTACAACACCAGGTTGAATACAAGACTTTCAGGGCTAAAACTATGAATAGCTAATCCTGTCAGCATGCGTTGATGTAAGACGGACATATGCTTGAAATGAAAGATCAGCAAATCTTATTCTAAATCAATCAAAGAGCTAGAGAGACAAACAACCCAAATCCAAACAAACACCAACAAAATATTTATCTCAAACAGAACCAAGTTACAAGTTCACAAAAAGGATAATAAAAGAAGAGAAAAGGTTGCAGTTACTGAGAAACTGTAGGAACGAAAAATTTGGACTTTCACAGTAGAGAAAGCAAACCACTATAAACCGCAAAGCTGCGTCACCTTAAACTTAAATGTTTTAACATTGCCTTTTCCATAATTGTTTTCTACTCTCGTCAATTCAATAGTTTCCCATTTCTTAGTCACCAATCAACATGAACCACGAAACGTGTCAAGTCCTTTCCTTTTCCAGAAATCCCCATTTCCCTTAAAAAACCAAATCCAACAAAAAGATAATCACAAGACACCCCAAGTCACAAACTACAACCAACACACACAAAACGGAAAATATTAAATCTCGCCAACCAAACAAACTTAAATAAAGAAAACAAGAAATTAAGGAAGATTACAAAAATAAACATAATGAAGCTAAAATTAAAAAGAAATGAGACCTCCAGAACTCCTCGACGGTACTGAAGGTATAGATCGGGCGAATGGAACTCCCCCAATCCTCTTGCTTAGACTTTGCGGACTTTGCGGCGGGGCTATCGAACCAGAAGGTCCATGAGTGCTCCAGAGCATGAGACTGTGGCGCTATTCCTTTCGATGGCTTCGACGCCGATTCTTCGTCGCCCACGATCTCTCCTTCTTCGGGCTCATCGTCCTCTTCCCTTGGTTTAGGGTTCGTCTCGGTCTTGGCCTGATCTTCTGAAGCTGAAGTCTTGAGTGCATCTTCGACCACCATTTTTAGGGCTCGCTTGGATTGGCTCAGTTTCTTGCTCGCTTTTCTTTCTTGGCGTTTGGTTTTGTGTTTTCTTAGTAAAACAATTGCGTTTCGATGGCTCGGTAACTCTCTTATCTTATTTACACAGCAGCGTTCAGGCGTCGTGTTTCTTCACGTGCTTTAAGTTCTAACGGATGCCACGTGTTAAACCATCACGTGATCAGTAGCTCAGGTTGTGGGCTTTGGGCCCACAGCTCAAATCCAAAATTAAGTCAAGTCCAAAAACGCCCAAACTTCTCAGGAGAATGGGCTACATAAATGTATTCATGTTAACAATTTTTTATTTATTCATATTTTATATCTATTTATATTTTTATAAATTTGTAAATTTTTTATAGGAAATTTGTTATTCTTTTTTTTTTTTGGTCTGAACTATGAGGTGGTCCTGGATGGGCCCCAACTATGGGTGGCACCTTTAAGCCTTAACCACAACCCAGACTAATCCCCACTCACACCGGGTCGGCCCGTAAGGGGTAAAGTGTTGGCCAAAGTGGTGACTCCGTACGAGAGCAGGGATCGAACCCCTGACCTCTCTTAAGGAATAATTTGTTATTCTTTTTAGTGAAGCTAATTGGTTCTATATTATTACAAGGGGAGGGGGATTTCTCACACACACA